AAACAAATAGGAAAATCATAATTAAATTATTAAAAGTACTAACAAAATATGAATATGTTACATGAATAATTATTGAAAACAATACAAAATAATAAAATACTATTTCCATAAAATGACAAAAAACTTTACTTCAAGTAAATGCTCAAAATGACCGCCATTTGTCAAGAGACAGGCATTTACCCTTCAGTGTAGTGGCTACAGTTCGTTTAAGAGTACCAAGTACAGAATATGTGCTTTCTCTGTCTTCCAACTAAAATTAGCCACATTCTCCCAGCCCAAAATCTGAGAGCACACGTCCTGGGGTCATTAAAGGTGAAAGGGATGCCAAAGGTATTCTGTGCACTCGCAAATTGCCAAAACAAGATGTGGTGTTTCCAAATACAGGTTGCGAGTAAAGATAAAGACCCAGTATGCTATTAAAATGTCTAGTTTCTGAGTTGAGAACGTACAAAAAAATATTGCCCTACAAACCATCACAACATAGATTCAAAATGTAAATGTTAAAAAACTTTTACACATTTTCAATACTTTTGTCTCTTTATGGAAATGTGAACTCAGATTGCTATATGAATTACCCAAAAGCAAAGTGATGTGTTTTTATCTTTTTTAATGTGATATAAGAATATTTTTAATTTATCAGTGTTACTCCTGTTGAGAAAAAAAAAGTGCAGTTCCATTAAGTTCTGCTCCTTGTTGGTTTCCCTCTTTTACTACAATGCGTACGCAAACTGTACTTTTTCTCTCTCTTCTGTTTATGATTACTTCCTTTCCAAAAGTGAGATTGGTAATACACTCAGGGTTGACAAAAACTTGAGGTTTAAAAAGAGACTTGAAATTTTTAGATTTTCTTGGGGTTTTTAAACTTAGTTAATATAAAATACTGGATTTCATCATTTGTAAATTCAAATTGAAATATATTCAATATACATGCATACAACTGTGTATCCAAGGATTAACCACTCACACACCCTGTTTTAATATTTCAAACTCATCTAATCATCACAGGTAAAATACATTTTCATTAATGTTATTACAGTAACAAAGTAACAAATGCATAACTATGTAGCAAAGTTCAAAAACAACTTTGGATTCACCGGAAGTTAATTCTATACTTTGATCGTCTTTTTATTTGTTTATGTGATCGAGGTTTCAGGCACATCAAATGACTCAAAGGAAACAAAAACGTTCAATATCCAGAAGTTTTGGACATCGCACATTCTTGCTAATCACTAAAAGTTGAAGGATCCCGTACAGACATCACAGAGCTATTCAATAGAACAAAACTGAGAAAATAGTTAGTAATTCCTCCTTATAGTGTTTCTGGTAAAAACAGCATTAGTCATGGACAAATAAAGATAACAGCAGAGGGCATGATGAATGATCAGCTTAAAGCAGTTTCTTTTCAGTATTTTCATTGACTTTATTGCAGTTTAATAGTTAATCTAGATTGTATTATAAACGATTGGGTGAAGTGTTTGTTAGCAGTTCAATTGCTTTCACTGAATGCAAAGAAACGTAATATATAAAATACATATTATTTTATTTCTGGTACCTTCTGGGGCTGATATATGATTGCAGTAAATGTTGTATTTATGTAATCGGTCATTTTCAAGCAAAAGCAACATATAGCCATTTCTCTTTTTCTTGTCACTTGTGAAACACATTGCTTTATTTACTCACAACTACAATTTGTTTCATGCTGCATTAAAGTATTCCTGGACAATATAAAATTCGGAATATCTTGTCCAGTTAGGAAGGTGAATGTTTTTTTTTTCCTCATTTCCCACAAATTGTATTTTTGGACTAATGCTGTTTTTCCGAGAAACCCATTGATTATGTACAAAAAATTTAGCATTCCTATCTGCTATCAGTCAAGGCCATAAGTGCAAACGGGTTGATGGCACAAAACAAAAAAGTTCTCAGGAAACAGGTTTTTGCCAGCTGAAGTATATCAAAACATTCAATAATGAGATAAAGAAAGTCAGTGACCACTTGTTCTGGTCAAAATTTCAATGCCAAAATTGTAACATATTGGTTGTACGATTTAAACAATGTCCATTCAGGCAGTTTATTGTAACTTCACATCCTGCGCTCAAGAAGGTGTGTGCAATTGTATTCTCTCCACATACATCATATTATATTTGTCATATATGATTGAACTTGTATGCGAGACTCAATAATAATAATAATAATAATAATAATAATAATAATAATAATAATAATTATTATTATTATTATTATTATTACTACTACTATCATGAAGTTCTGGGAACCTGAACACTTCAAGTGAAGAACATGCCTGAACAGAAACATGTTAACACAATGGACCTCAAGTTTAAGTACATGATCATTGGTATAGTTAATAAGCACCCACGTCAATTTTTAAAGGAAACAAAATGAATCAAAGAGACTTTCTCTTTATTATCAACATAAATAATGTAACAGTCTTCAGATCAAAATGGTAGAAACAGGAAATCAATTAAATGTGAGAAATTAAGTAGATTCATGTTAGAAAAGAATTAATAACGCACTTTAAGACACACAACAACGAAGTCTAGTTTTACAGGGTTGACTTTTGAAAACAACTTCACCAAAGATCTGAACTCACTGAGCAGGACCAACTATGTGTCATCTAATAAGGATGACTTTTACTAAATGGAGAGATTTGCAAGAATTAAATAATTATATTCCACCCAGATATCGCTAATTTTTGATGGCCTGAATCATGCGACCTCTCAGTCTGCACCAAAAACTGAGAAATGTGGACATGGACAAGAAGGAAAACCAACAGGAGGCCTCCAAAAGCAAATGACAGATTCACAGATGTTGCAACAGAAACAAAGACGTGACATCTTCAGATCTGGCGACAAAATTGACAGCAATACAGCTGTATTTTACAAAACATTCAAAATATTGCTGACTCATTTCTTTTGGGAATGTAGACATGTTGCGTTGGAATATAATAAGCAAACTCAAATCTGTTACAAAAGACATGTTTCAATGTAGTAAGTATGGCTCATTCTAAATTGGGCCAAACTCGACAACCATTGCATACAGGTAATTTTATAATTCATTTTCTCCAAACTATATCAGAATAAGTAAGTTATAATTCAATTTTAAAGAATATAGTTAGAGCCAACATATACAATCAAAGTTCCAGCAATATAGTCCTGTAATTGATTTTTTATTCTGTTTTCAATTTCAGAGTCATTTATCTGACTTGTATTACTTTACTATTAGGTGCCCTCATATGAACTTCCAAGTTCGACACAACAATACTTAGAATAATATTTTCACCTTAATTCCTTTCATTTAATTAATTTAAGACTTCTTTATAATGAATTTCCTTCATTTTATAACCTAACTTTGTCAACATTTTTAATGATGTATTGTTCATATTTAGTATAACCTTTATCAAGTTTGTAATCTAACTTAAATTTTATGAATAATTTGTTTTTAAATTGTAATTCAATAGTTCTCTTATAACAGTAGGTTCCCATTCATGCTGCTAACCATATATCAACCCCAAAGCTGCCATTTAAATACATTATTTAATTTTTATTTGCAGGTCTTTCTTCCAACATTTTACTTGGAAAGTTTGAAGCACAGAACCAAAATAACATTTCAACAAATACAACATAATTTATAAAAGAATGCTCCAAAACTTTCAAAAAAAGTAAACAAATATTGTAACTAATGTGAACAAATTACTAACTTAATTTCAACAAATCATCTTAACTTTCACAAAAATTCAAACAAAATAATTTTTCTGTCAAAGTCTTAGCAATACCTCAATAGTCCTCCACCATGTTCATTTCACTTTCAAATAATGGCAATTAATGAGAATGGGATTTATTAACCATTTTACTTCTTCAAACAAACAAAATACAATTTGAGTGTACATCAGTCTAATAAAAAATATGGATGCTAGCAACAAACCACGAATGTACACATATTTTGCGTATGTACTCTTTTTCCACAAAAATTCCATGTTCTTCTTTGGGTGTAAAAAAAAATAATTATTAGAGTTTGAAGTATATAAATTGTTCTCTTGAAAGCTGCTTAAACCACTGATATTTTTGATTATGATGAAGGTATCCAACCTCAAAGTTTAGTTTCTCTTAATGTCATATTTAGAATACTGACAATTGTAAGACAAGCATAACACTTATACATTTTGAAACCACTCAAAAAGAAGAATAGCTGTAACTGAATTAAGGAATGTAAGCTTGAGATATTCCTTTCAATAAAAATTTGATGTTCGAAGTTGCTGTGAAGATGAGTGCTTGGAACAGAATGATCATCATTGTTCATCCAATACCCCCCCCCCCCAAAAAAAAAGGAATATACAATACAAGCATATTTCAATTTAAAGTCGATACAAAGGACAAAAAGCAACTAGGTAAAACAAAGAAACCTCGAACTAAATAAACTACAATCAATCAACCAGTCAGTAAAATCAATGAAAAAACAAAATATGTTACACTTTGCTCTGGGACAGCACAATAATAACAATGCAAAAGTTGATCACGTGTCGTCTTTATACATAATAAGTATAACAATGCCCAGGACGAGAACATCGCTCAACAAAATAAGATAAACAAAGGGCAGAATGCCTCAAAGTAAAAAAGGCGGAATTTCGTGTAACGAAAGGGCTAACTGTCACTACAATTTAATGCAAAGTACGTTAAATAATCCCTGTATTAATAGAGATTGTTAGAACATCAGTTACAGCAAAATGACAAATATATGCCGATTATCAATAAAGATACCGGCAAAGTTGGCGGGCGAACACTAGGGTTGGAATAATCTCTTTCCGAAGAAACCACGTAAATAGCACGATTGCATAAATATTACTGAAGATAACTGTGACACTGGCTGATATTTTCGTAACTCTTCTCAGAGGAAGCAGCATCACCGCAATGTCATGCAGCTTCAGAAACGCGAGTTATAAACAAAGCATTATTCACTCACACAAGAAAAAAATAATTGGGATTTACCTTTCCGAAATCGAACACATATTCCATGTGGATCATATTCTAAAGCTATTGTTACCGGAATTTCAAACTTCGGTACAATGTCACCATTTTCCACGGTATGAGATACATTCACAGAGCGAAACAAGTTCGCCATTTTACAACGCTACCGTGCGTTTCGTTGTTGTGGAAAAGCATGGCAAGACATCCATGTTTGCAGAGAGAGCCTGTAGATAGCGCGGCATACGTTGCGTCTAGATACTGGAATGAAATTTTACCATTCTTTAGTAATCTAAAATGTGACGTTTCAAGAAAAATCTATCCAGTAGTCCAATATTTGATGGCCTTACTTGATAATATTTTTGGTAATTAATTTGTGAACGAATAGCTCATATACCCATTAGATTTATTTTTAAACAACATTGCTGTGTCCTGCATGAAATATATAGATCTGTTAGGTACTGAAAACAATATTTTAATTTTATTTTCCATTTCACTTCAATCAGTTGAAGAGATAGAGATCCATCCTTTGCGTTATTTCTTTCTATGACGTGCATTAAGTACGTTGTTGTTTTTTTCGAATAATTTAAGTCAATTATGTTGTGATTGATTCATTTTAAAGCAATTAATTTAATTTTAATTTTATAAATATACAACTTACCTCCAAAGTCAATCTGAAATGCAATTAATATTTTTATATATACAGAACTCAGATAAAGAGACATATGATGGCAAAGATTTTTGAATTTCTGGCCGGAAACTCTTACATGCAGAAAATACCATTATAAGTTCATTACCAGATATATTTTAGAGCGGTAGACATTGCTAAAGCGGCGCCGGTTAGTCCTGCGGGTTCGAATTACCCTTCGGCATGCATGCTTACGTATGTGTTGTGGCATGGCGGGCTTTCTCGCCCACCACCTATCCAACGAAATCCCGTCATTCCTGACCTATGTGGCGTAGGAATAGACCTGCGTTACACATGAGAGAGCAATTCCTCAATACATGTACGTGCACTCACGCCGGTAACAATGTGTGGCTGGTGAACCCAGGATGAGTTCCGTACAGAGTTCTTACGGGACCCAGCGGAGCATTATCTACGCTCTGCAATGGTTCCTTCATCAGCTAATTACCGACAGGCATGTAGGACCTCAGGAGCTATGATAGTATGGATTAATAAGTTTATATACCGAAAACACGGGTCCATGGGTGATTGAGGGACCATTGTAGTGCCAAGGTGAGGCGACCGGTCAGTCAGGCTCAGTCGGTGGAAAGTGTCGAACTAGATCCAAATGGATGATTATATTAGAAAGCAAATCCACAAAAGAACGCTAGGTGGCGGGTACCTTATCTCTGACATCCTCATCACCCTAAGGTGCAGTGCAAGGAGCATAGCAACGCAATTTCTAAGCTATCTGTGCTCTAACGGTGCCGCCGCTCGACTGCTGAGGGGAAAGTCGGACTGGATCTCTGTTGACGCTGGGAGCTGTACGCCTCTGATGAAGTCTGTAGTTTGTAGGTGTGTCAAGCTGGATTAGCCATGTCAGCAAACCCGAATGATGCAAGAGTTGTTTTATTGCTAATTAATTGCCACATTTTCGTGCTGAAAACGGGTGCGAGATGGCTTGACACGACGTCAGAACACACTTCAGATAAATTCATATCGAAGCTCGCCGGAAAAGTCAAATTATTTATTGATAATTAATTTTCATACATTTTTCTGGCGAAAACGGATGTGAGCTGGCTTGAAGTGACGCCAGCCCACTTATAAGTTAAATTCATGGCCATTAAGCTAGCAAAATTATTTCCTCAAAACACATTTTTAATATAACCAGACTTTGGTGCTATTTTTGTGCTTTTCAAATACCCATTTTTTTGCTCCAACCGTTTTTCTAAAAATTGATGGCTCTGCCAGCCTTAAGCTGACAAAGCTAATTCAGCAAAAAATCTGAACATACAGAATATTGTTCTATTTTTGTGGTTTTCAATTGCCACACCTACCAAAGTGAACATCACTTATTACTTTTTTTGCACTTACTTGTCTACGAAAAAATAAAAAAAAGACTTCTAAATAATGGATGAGTGAGTTTGTTAGAAAACGACTCGTAGAAGAAAAGCTATAAAGCAAAATTAGCTTTTTTCGACACAATGACCACAAAACAATACACTATACAACAATACTGTTTCTCATTTTTGACTTTTCACTTTTTTCCTCCCTTCACTTTAACTTTACCCATAAAAACGTGTTTCATTATACTACTATCAACAACACGTTTCCATATACATAAATCCTCATAAAAATCAAACTGCTCAACAATATGCATTGCCCTTTGTCAACAATCACAATCAAATACCAATCAACTTTAACACTGATTGTTTTGCTCTCATCATTTTCCGAAAATTGAACAAAATCACTTACGGGAGGACCGGACTGGCGCACCCCCTGCGAATAACAAAAATCCTTTTGGAAGCAAAACTATCCTTCAAAATTAAATTTTCTTTACACAACGTCAACCACAATACATTGCACTAACCAGCCATATTGGTTTTGAATTTTTCACTGCAGACACTACCTATTAAAAAAATAATTCATTACACTGTGTATCGAAAACCATACGGATCAAGAAAAAACTCATAAGTACTAAACTACTCAACAATTCGCATTGCCCTTTACCAATAATAAGAAAAAAATATAATAATAAACTACACCGACTTTTTTTGCTCCTACCCTGTTCTGGACAATTGAACAAAACCACCGCAGGACCAGGGCAGGACCTGGGATGATTTCAGTAACGTAAGGATTGTTGGGTTACTCATAACAAATTGAGTATTTTCTACAATGAGGCTATATTAAACAAAATTGAAAACATCAGAAATTGCTCGTATAAATTACAAAAAAAAATGTTTAATCAATTTGACATTAAGGGCAAATGAAAGTTGCTTTTGTCTTCAATAATTAGTCCTACGTTTTCTTCGTGTACAAATTTTCCACACACAAACACTTTCCCACATACGTCCTGAACTGCCACCTCACAGCAAACCTGACAATACCAGCTTTCCCCATTCTTCTCAGAAGGATTTGATTTCTCCAGTGTTTACATATTTTAGTCATAGAGCTTATTACTGAAGAATGAAGTGAATATGGCCGCAAGTGCTGTTAATATGCCCATCACCCTTGGCCATAATGACAGCGAAAAAACATGTTATAAAATCTCTCCCACGGTAAAATATTGAGAAAATTTAATGACATCAACGTTTAACGCATTTAATGAGCAATCAAATCAGATTGATGTATAATGTCAAAATACTAAATTATTCATTAAGTGTAATGATAAAATTACACAGCACGTTCTTTACAATGGAGGCTCCAGAGCGCGAATACGCGATTCAACAAGCCTGGTAGGGAGTTCACGCACTTCTTTGCACATTCATCGAGATATCGATCTTAATATTGATTCCGTGATTCGCGAAAAGCAAACGGACGCGATTGGAATTTGTTCTGTAACATTGACAAAACAATAGTAACCTAATTGATACCTGATATGTGGTAGTTGATGTGAGTATTGATATATTGAATTTCTAATATATTTAAAGTACAATTAAGTCAATCTTATGTAAGGTAAATGATGCAAATAAGGCCAGTGCAGTTAATATAGCATAGTAGCGGCTATGTTGTTAGCTGAAAATGTTTACCATAGATAGTACTAGCATGCTGTCTGGGAGGGTGTCGGTTGTTAGTAGATTTCAGGCGTGCACGCTAAATTTATTTGGGGGTTCCAAGCGTGCAACTTACCTGTCATCTGGCGCTGGCATAGAAAACTTCAGGGGCAGACGATCCGGGGCAAATAGATGCATATGCTTTACTAATCTACTCTAATTTACATAACACACTAATAATGTCCTTTTTCAGCGTTGCTTGGCTGAGTGGCGAGAACACGTGTATTTTAAAATAGAAATGCATAAAGCCAAACCTTCAATACAATTGTTCACTGGACTATTCTAATTCTTTCTTTTATACTCCTCTTTAAAAAAAAATATCCGGAACTTTTTCTATTTATAAAGATGAACAAACATACATGATGACGATGAGTTGAATACCTTGCCTCGAATGATTGCACGAACATGGGTCGTCTGGTTGAGCAGTTCCAGTCGTGGCTTCGCAGAAGTTTTCTGCAGTGTGGACGGCGACGGAACAGGAACCCAGTGCCCCCTTGGCACTCACCAGGAACTCACCGCTACCCGCAAGCTTTTCGTAATAATGAGCCGCGATGTCGAAAATTGGCAGGTTGAACGTCATACGTCACTTGTGCTTAGTCAGGCGATGCTGCGCACACCTCTGATTGCTCTATTAATGTCGGCCGAACCAGTCCGTCGATCAGAATAAATTCCGAGTTTCGACTGCTGACGGACGGTGGATTTCCATAGGCCGGTAAACTGGACGCCAGCTGACCAGTTGCGTCCACCGCTGATGTCGTTGCCAAGTTACGTCTGTCTCTCGTAAGTGCCTTTTTGCAAGTCCTTTTTGGATTCTCTGCCCGCTGCTTCCTCTCTTCCCATCCCCTCTCCTCTAGGAGTCCCAAAGCTTCTTCACGTGCGTGACATTTTTAATCTTATTGGTCATCTAAACAGATTCTAGAACTTTCCACATTTCTCGATTGTGGATAGGTGTCAGGAAATCCCTTTCATGATTAACCTACCTTTCAGAACATTTAATTAGTCGGCATTGCGCCGCTGCGGACGCGTGGTGACACTCCGGCGGAAAGACAACAGCTCTATTTTTACTAGGCTGACTTCCGCGGCTGGAGTCAGTATTTACTAGGCTGCCCGGGTGACGCCGCGTCCATGGCGAAGGTGCCGACGTTTCGGTCGACATTCTGCGACCTTCCTCAGGGCGTATTACCTTCCTCAGGGCGTCGCAGAATGGCGACCGAAACGTCGGCACCTTCGCTATGGACGCGGCGTCACCCGGACAGCCTAGTAAATACTGACTCCAGCCGCGGAAGTCTACGCTCTCAGACAACAGCTCCTTTATACTGTCATCATTTTACGACGCCTCCTTTGAGATATTTACTGGCAAGGGCTACTGGGTTCCTAACACGACTGTGCCGCTGCTTCGTCCGACAATCGGTAAGACCAAAGAATGAGACTGGGTTCGGGGGGCTTCCTTTCCGCTTTGAAAGACAGTCCGTAAGGAATGACACATGGACATGGGGGTGGCGGAGGCGAGCGAGTGCGCCTCCTGCACGTTGCCGAGCCAAATTGC